AGAGATATGTGGAATAGATGAAGGTTAATATCTCAAAGCTTTTAATACGATCTTGCTCAGCAGTTCAGCCTGGATTCAGCGCGGCAATGGTCTGTGTCCATGTCAGACTAGATTTGTAAATGAGGGAGAGGTGCCCTCTTGCTGCGAGAACAGACTGTGATCCTCCAATAACAACCAAGTAAGCCAGATATATGGAATAGATGAAGGTTAATATCTCAAAGCTTTTAATACGATCTTGCTCAGCAGTTCAGCCTGGATTCAGCGCGGCAATGGTCTGTGTCCATGTTAGATTAGATTTGTAAATGAGGGAGAGAGGTGCCCTCTGAGTCCAGCAATGATTACAAGTCCAGATCTAGGATCCCGTTGTTCAGGCACATGCCTCACGGGAAGATTCTCCCTCCACTACTCAAGCTTGGAAGATAGGAGTGCCTCTATCCAAACCTGTACTTGGAATGACAAATCTTGTGGGGCAGCAGCCAGCCATCACTGAACTCTACACTAAAGCCTAAAATAAAGTAGTTGTCAGAGGCCAAGTTGAAAGGAAAGGGATGAATTTACCAATAATGGCTTTTCCTCTTTGATTATGATGCTTAACATGGACAGCAAGAACATGTCCAAGGACCCAATTATCTGCAACTTTTTCTAACAGACTTATATTTTTTAGACCAGCTTACGTTTATTAGAAAATAGAGCACAACGTAGAAATAATTCCCACATACTTCCTTATCATACCTCGCCCCAACATCTGGTTTTCCCTGACATCCTGCCTTCGTATGTACACTTGAAGAAACAATATGGATATAGTATTATCAAGCCAAGTCCACAGTTCACATTAGGATTCATCCTTTGGGTTGTACATTCTGTTTTGACAAATGCATAATGCCATGTATCCACCATTACAGTATCATACACAATCGTTTTACTGCCCTAAAAATCTATCTGCAGCTTTATAAACTCATATATCACTTTCGTCATATCTGTATGAACAAATCCTAAAAGAGAAATGTTTATTTAGTAGAAAAGAGTAGATACTAAGACAGTTGCTGAATCTCAAATAAAAATAAATTTGCTCCAGAAAAATATTGTATTACTAATAAACCTGTTTAGGAAATACAACAGAATTTTGCTAGCAATCAAGTAATCAAGTCTACATTTGTATTTGACTTATTAATGAACATTTCTTGAACACTAAAATCTTTGATTCCCAAATATTTGGCCCAATTCATAGCACAATATAAGTGGGTACATATAAACATGAATAAAAATTATATTCCTTGGGGAACCTAAAGTTTAAGAAGGAAATAGTCACTTGAACCCCTAATTATAATGTAAGGAATATCCTTATAGAGGTATACATAAAGTGCTACAGAATGGATTAATCACAGGAACCAATTTGGCACTATGACAAAATTAGTTCCGTTTGCTATAACTAGGACAGCTGATGATTAGAAAGAACAGTATTTCCAGTATTCATATAACAAAAAATCTTAGGGTCATATCCAATTCTGACAGAAGTATACAGAGAAAATTAAAAATTTAACATGTCGCCCTAACCAGCTTGGCTCAGTGGATAGAGCGTCAGCCTACGGACTGAAAGGTCCCAGGTTCGATTCCGGCCAAGGGCATGTACCTTGGTTGCGGGCACATCCCCAGTAGCAGGTGTGCAAGAGGCAACTGATCGATGTTTCTCTCTCATCGATGTTTCTAACTCTCTATAAAAAATCAATAAAATATATTTTTTTTAAAAAATGATCATGGCATTGGAGTGTGCAATAAAGTTTGCAGAGAACATGTTTTAAGGTATAATGTTCTACAATATAAAGTACTATGCAATATATTAAGCAACTAATTCTAAATGACTCACATTATAAACATATGCCAGGATTATAAATTTATTAATAAAATCTTGTGATTAGTCTGAGACACACAAACACATATTATCAATAAAATACTTAATCAGTATTCACTATCCAATAATTTAAGCTTAAAAAAAGAAAGCAAGTAAGTACTCCTCATAAAATGAACAATTATTTAAAAAATATAAAAATGTTTAAGGTGATAATAAATGGATTAAGAGTTAGACATGACATGTGAAGTGAAAGTTAAATGTGCTGTCTCAAAAATAGTTTCCAAATTGACTTATGTTAAAAATAATTTCTATCTAAAACTATAGATCAATTTAAATATACTGCCATTTAAAATACCATTAAAAGTGAACTAAGCACTGGATTAAGAGTTAGAATGAAGCCACAGGTTTATTATGCACTACTATGTAATTATTTAATTTTTCTTTGCCTTAAGTTTTCATTTATAAATATCTAAACATTTGCTTAGAAGTCTTGAGAGAAATAATCATAGACACATACATAATACCTTAATCCAGCGGTTCTCAACCTGTGGGTCGAGACCCCTTTGGGGGTCGAATGACCCTTACACAGGGGTCGCCTAAATACATTCTGCATATCAGATATTTACATTACGATTCATAACAGTAGCAAAATTACAGTTATGAAGTAGCAATGAAAATAATTTTATGGTTGGGGGTCACCACAACATGAGGAACTGTGTTAAAGGGTCGCGGCTTTAGGAAAGTTGAGAACCACTGCTTTAATCAATAAAGAAAAAAAAGAAAATTAAAAAAAAAGAAATAGTCATAGATTTTTTTCTGTCATGAAACCTATGACAATGACAGCTTTATTAGGAAAAAAAACTGGAAATAAGCTGAATGTGTTTCAATAAGAAATTAGCTATAGAAGTCATGGTACATCCACACAATAGAGCAATGTGCAGGCATTAAAATGTTTCTATAGAAAGATACTTAATATAAGAGAAAACATTTGTATATTTAAAAAGTAGGTTATAAATAAACTCAATCATACTATTATTAGAAGGTACAAGCTTCCAGTTATAAATAATAAATGTGGTGACTATAGTTAATACTCTACTGTATATTTGAATGTGGTTAACAAAGTAGACATTAAAAATCCTTATCACAAGAAAAAAATGTAACTATGTATGGGGACATATGTTAACTAGACAGAGTGGTGACCATTTCACAATATATACAAATACAGAATCGTTATGCTATACACCTGAAAGTAATGTAATATGTCAATTTTACCTCACAAAATATATAAATTTTTTAAAAACCAAAAAATACTTATACTGCTGACTAAAAAAGGAACTGTGAATATTAACAGTGATTAACATTAGATACTAAAATTACAGATAATGGTTATTTTTTCCTTCTTTGTACTTAACTGAACTTCCTAAATGTCTATAACACCTATATAATAGTTTTTGTAAATAGTTATTGAAAAAAGATGCACAGTACTAACTTTAGATTATCTAAAATGAGGGCCTGGAATAACAGAAAAAAAATTATATTTTTATGTTTTACTGAGAGATTACATTATGAAATAAATCTCCTACCATAAAATCTTACCACATTTATTTTAAAAAATAGCAACATTTCCCTCAATTCCCCTTCCTCTCCCTTCTAGCCAATGAGATGGCTAGAAGGATGCAAGAATAAAAGAAGCAGCTGACACAGATAATGATAAAACTGTATAACCAGTCTTGGCATAATTTTAAGTGAACTGTAAATGAAGCACCTACAGTGAGGAGTCAATCATCAAAAGGCAAAACAACCATCTCAAGAAGAATGATCCTGGGGCTCCTTGACAGCCAAAGTTCAATGGCCTTGAACACACTTACTTTCAAAGATACTTCCAAGAGAGTATTAGAAAGAAAAATTAACCTCACATATTAAGATAGTTGAATGAATTAAAAGTATAAGTGTAATATTTAAAGCTTATTTATTCCTAAAGAGTTCATGACACAATTATCCTTTATTCTAAGGTCATTCTGAATTCTAGCAAAGTTGGCATAAAATGTTTCCCCACTTACTTTCAAACTTTACTATCAAACTCTCAGCAAAAACAAAGCAAACAAACGAACAATCCATGATGTATTTCCATCTTTAAAAAAATCAATAAACTAGAGTAAAAATTGTTTTACTGAGAGACCTTGCAACTATGATTAACAAATATTAGTCGCAACTTCTCATTGGCTCTGGTGACTTTTTCTCAGGGCAGCATTTTGTGGTAAAAAGGCTGCTAGATTAGGACATTAAACTAGATTCTGTTCCCTACTCTGCTAGCACTATCAAAGAAAGTTAGGACCTGAGGAAAGTCATGCACTCCCTAAAACTATGTGGCTGTTTCTGAATCATAGATTAGTGAGATTTCTTTTAGCTCTACAAAACTACAACTGAAAAATGAGAAATGGATCCCAAGAATGGTCCCCATGGTTTTCTTACTTGAAGTTTAGGAAGGTGAGCACCTCTTAAAAGGACCCTCAGTTCTTACACTGGTAGCTGTGTGGAGGTTAGAATATCCCAATTCAACATGCTTATCTGGGTTTTTTCCTTATTCTGCTAAAAGAGACTGATTTGCCCTGCTTCTGGGTAGATTGTAGAGCTGATGTGTTTATCCTTTTAGAGATAAAGACTAAGCTATTTGAAGGTGTTTTCACCCCAAAAAGGGGGCAGATCTAGAACAGGGCAAGAGATATGGGAGCGCAAACCTTGCATCGGAGGGAAGATTAGGCAGTGAGACAAGTTCAAGGACTATCTCAGGGAGATGGAGTGGCCTCTGCCACATAGAGATGTGTGCTGCGAGAACAGACTGTGATCCTCCAATAACAACCAAGTAAGCCAGATATATGGAATAGATGAAGGTTAATATCTCAAAGCTTTTAATACGATCTTGCTCAGCAGTTCAGCCTGGATTCAGCGCGGCAATGGTCTGTGTCCATGTTAGATTAGATTTGTAAATGAGGGAGAGAGGTGCCCTCTGAGTCCAGCAATGATTACAAGTCCAGATCTAGGATCCCGTTGTTCAGGCACATGCCTCACGGGAAGATTCTCCCTCCACTACTCAAGCTTGGAAGATAGGAGTGCCTCTATCCAAACCTGTACTTGGAATGACAAATCTTGTGGGGCAGCAGCCAGCCATCACTGAACTCTACACTAAAGCCTAAAATAAAGTAGTTGTCAGAGGCCAAGTTGAAAGGAAAGGGATGAATTTACCAATAATGGCTTTTCCTCTTTGATTATGATGCTTAACATGGACAGCAAGAACATGTCCAAGGACCCAATTATCTGCAACTTTTTCTAACAGACTTATATTTTTTAGACCAGCTTACGTTTATTAGAAAATAGAGCACAACGTAGAAATAATTCCCACATACTTCCTTATCATACCTCGCCCCAACATCTGGTTTTCCCTGACATCCTGCCTTAGTATGTACACTTGAAGAAATAATATGGATATAGTATTATCAAGCCAAGTCCATAGTTCACATTAGGATTCATCCTTTCGGTTGTACATTCTGTTTTGACAAATGCATAATGTCATGTATCCACCATTACAGTATCATACACAATCATTTTACTGCCCTAAAAATCTATCTCCAGCTTTATAAACTCATATATCGTTCCCCAAAATATCATAAATCAAATAAAAATGTGCAGCTAGTCTCTGACGATAAACTACTTCAGCTCTAACAAATTTCAATGTCATTTTATGCTGTAGCACATGAACCACCTAATCCTCATCGATGCCTATATTGACAGGGCACTGCATATAAACAGTCTTTGGATTCCGTAAAAGACCTGAGCAGAGATATTAGTAGCTCTTACACGCTCCACACCTATGTTCCTAATGCTTTTCAGTTTGTGCTTTCTCTCCTTAGCCCCACAAACTTTCACTTTACTTGTAATGTTCCAGAAATTGTCTCTATTCCTCAGTTTACATACGTATTTACATGCCTTTCAAGCTGGGCTATAAAAATTATGAACTACCAGTAGGTACCACTCACAATCCAACTGATGGTGTTATTACTGATCACTTGTTGCACAGTTAGAGGTTTCCAGCTGGCTACAAAGCTACAGTTAACTGAAATGACATGCACTCAACCAACATAGAAC